ACTTGGAAATATCATGAACAGTTTTATTCAGATCAGATGTTTAAATTGGTGCTCTAAGATACTTAAGAATGTTATATTCACATTATTGAATGATGAATCTAATCGATCACAACAACAGTCGTTTATACTAAGACTTCTTATTTTATTATTCATTATTAATATTTTAATCCATATATCGAAATTTCATTACTTTCACTAAACTTTATTATTCTTAATTATCCATTAATATTAAATAATTTAATATTCCATCTTGATTATTTGTTTTATTTTTGACATAAAAATATTATTAATCAGATTAATCGTAATAAAAGAAAGTAATTAGTTGTATTTTCATACTTAATTTATGAGTAATTGTAAATTCATATTTCACAAAGATAGCATTAAATTTCATAATCGATTAATAACAAAATAATTTTTTAAAATTTAAGTACAAAAATAAAATTATAGACATACTTTTAGTTTTAAATTGATAAAATAAATATAAATAATATATAATCTAAATTATAAAATAATTGTACTTTTATAGAATGCATTAAATGGTTTTATTACAAGAGTCAAAATTAAATTGTTTATTAATTAGTAAAAAAATAAAAATAGGCTCGGAGGGGATCGAACCCTCGATCTTCAGTTTATAAGGCTGATGCGTTATCCAACTACGCTACAAGCCCTGGCATGCTCTTATCACCAAATCATCTTTTTTTTTAATAATCAAAGAGATATTAATTATGAATACAATTAAATTTTTAAATTAATAGAAATTTTTAATTATTAAAGACAATTTATTTTAAGTTATCAAACTTAAGTAAATTCTATAATAATCTAAATTTTACATTTAATCAATTCTTTAGTTGATTACAAGATATAAATTTTGCTTATAATCATAATTTTCCATTTAATAATTATTTAACTTTAATTAATAAAACAGTTGCCTAACTTAAGATCATTCAAATAACTAATCTAGATGATTCATAAAATTTATACTGTAATAAATCCTAATGAACCAACATCCTGTACTTTAATAGTTATTAGTTATAAACATTTAATTTAAATGCAAATAGTACATTTGATTAAATTAAGAAAGCTAATAGAAATTAATTATTATCTTCGAGGATTAACAGGGTGGAAACAAAATTAACAGATCTTTTATTGATAAAGATAATAAACTTATAAGCTGAATTTATTATTATAATAATAAATGTAAAAGAATTGTATTCCTTATAATTTCTAATCAAACGATTGTCTAATGAACAGAATTTCTAGCCTAAAATTTAGACTTGCTGAAAGTTAATTGGGTATATTCTTAGGTTACACTTTTTTTTAATTTAGAACTTTTTCTTACTTTTTGAGACAGTTAGATTTAAGAATCCTTTTTCAATACTTTAATACTAGGAGATTTTTGGTCTACTGAAAATTTTTCAGGATGCTTTTCTATTTCACTTATTTCTTTTTAAAGAAGATAATTGCTTCTTTTCCATTGAAGGTCTTTATCTTGGTTTCTTTATAGCCATTTATTATTAATCATGTCACATTAAAAGTAAGGATGAGATAAAGCTGCTTCTACACTAATTCTTTTTTCTGGATCAATTTCAAGAAGATTTATCAAAAGATCTGTTTCTTCTGGTGTTAGTTTATACAATTATAGAATTTTAAAGTCTATATTGTATATTTTATTCATTCTTAAGATTTCATCTGATGTTTTTCCAGGAAATAGATCTCTAGTTGTGACTCTCTAGCATAATGAAAAGTATCTACAATTTAAAGAACATATAGATTAAATGCATAAAAATGAATAATAGATCCAACACTAAAAAGATCGACTTTTTCATTATAACTATCTTTGAATTTTCGGGAGCAGTATAAGCAGATGAAATACTTTAATTTATAGAGATATTAGTTTCTCATAAATTGTTATCCATAATTAAATAATTGAAAGAGATGCTATTCAATCTCTTTTGAATTTTTTATATGATGAATAACGAGAACATGATGCCAGTTAAATCAAAAAATGAAGAATGTAATTTTGCATCTCAGGTAATATACTATAAATTTTCGTACCCCATTAAGATATTAAAATGAAGAAAGAAAGTAAATAACAATTAACTTAAAGAATACCTATCTCAAAATTTTTTAAATTATCAGTAAAACCGTGATAATAATCAGAAAATTTAAGATTAAATTAAGAACATTTAATACATTTAAAGTGAATTATTTTAATATTATGTTCATGATTCATCATTGTTAAATTAGGAGATGGATTTAAAAAAAATGAAAATAGTGAATAATTACTTAAAGGAAAATTTCTCTATAATAAACAAATTATTATAAAGCTTGTTTGTTTTATAGAAATCCGCAATATATACCTTTATGATTATTAAAGCTGGGAGCCAATTTGATTTAGCTTTAAAAAGTAGAATAAATTATTATGTGTTTTTTTTGGCTCTTCTAGTTCAGTTACTTATAATTACTTGTTGAACCTTTCTTTAGCAGTTTGCTTAGATTTATTGAATAATAAATTCAATCATCATACTTTTATAATTATAAACTTCATTATTTTTAATTCTCTGTAAGCAGTATTTTCTGATTGTAATTTTTCTTAAATATTCAAATCTTTATATGAATGCATTAATTATTTAGAATCATTTTCGATTTTTTTATAATTTAGTAATTTGAATAAATTATTACAAGACATTATCTTAGCCTATAATTAAAAACTTTGTTAATTTATATTTTCTATAAATTAATTTTTAAATGATCTTGATAAAATTAGCTAGAATAAAATATTTTATGACTACATAGCGAGATTCAAATTAATTTGTAAATTGACATAAATATTTGATGAGCTCAATTAATATGATTTAAATTAATTTTAATCATTTCTATTTGATACAAGCGCAAAATTAATCATGTTGTGTTGGTATGTCTCGACATTATTTTCGAGTATTTTTGATGAAAAAAGACTATTATCAATTTGGGCTTCTGAAGTAAAGAATTACAAGGTGTAGTGAATTTCAAATGAAGTAACCACTTTTTGTTAGTTTTCTTCTAAACTAAAATTATAAATTATTGATTACGCTTTTCTTTCTTTTTCATCAATTAAATTTTTGTCAAGCAAAATCAAAAGACCTGGCAGAGCCACCTCAATGTCATATATTTTAGATCTCATCAAATAATATAAACCCTACATATGTAAACCATGATCAGATACCATCATTATATAATAGTCCTTATGATGGTTATTGTCAACTAACCAATTCAGAAAATTGTATAATGGATCATCAAAATAATTTATCACATCACCAGTTCCTTCATGACCATCCAAAAAGTACATCTCTAGATACTTGGGTACGTCATGATAAGTTTATAAGAAATCTTTTCCATAATTAAAAACATATTGATTGACTTCTTATCCATCGAGACATTTTTTAAAAATACTATAAGGTCCTTATAAAATACCAAAAGGATTATTTGGAGGAAGATAATTAGGATCACATATTGCACTTACAAACTCATGATCAATTGGTTAAGTTTAGACTACAGTAGCATCTTGTGGATCATGCTCAGTAATTGCAGTTCCACATATTGTTCTTGATTTAGCTATGATATATCCAGCGTCTGATAGAGTTTTAGTTATACTCTTATATTTTTCTAAATTTTCAGCTTTAAATATTGGTGTGCCATCTGAGTTTAATTCGATGTTTTCATCACCATCAGTAGTATTCCAACGCGAATTTTTAGATAGTTTTCCTAATTCATAAGCTATACCATATTCAAACCATAAAAATTAGGAGAAGTATTGATTCCTACAGACATATATCTGAAAGCTTAAAACATTTGGTGAGTATCCTTATAATTTTAAGCTTATTAATCAAACCATTTAGATGATTTCTTAAGCTTTTGAATATATCTTGCTCTTGAAACAGCATCTATGAATATTGTTATTATATTTTTGGGGAGTTTACGCCCTTTTATTTTACTTTCAATACCCGAATAATTTTTTTATTTTGATTCTATCAAAGTTTTATTCCTTTTTATTTTTGTAACATATTTCATCTACTAATGGTATCAACCATTTTTAAGCACAATAGCTAAATGAATAATATGGACATATATCAAATAAATTTAAATAAAGTAAACTTGCAATGACAAAAAAAACTCCTCCTATGATATTCAATTTAACTCGATATTTTGCTAGAAATTTTCCCTTGTCATAAGCATTTCGGATTTTTATGTTTTGTGAAACAAACCCTAGTTCTTCATCTTAATTATGAGGGATTTCAGATTTAATTAGTGATTAAACTACTATCTCTTCGCGGTTTGCATTAAAAATTAATTAATTAATTAAAAAATAAAAAATATAGTAAAATAAATCTTAATGATGTACAATTTGGTATTAAAGAAGAAAAATTTAGTTCAAGATAGATATAAAATTAGTAACTAAAGCATAAATTCTTGCTTTATTAGTAATTATTGTTTACTTTAGCCCATCATTAAGTTTCATAAACTAATTATTTTAAAAGTCAATTACCATATTTTTGTTTTCTTATCAAATCCGGCCCACACCAATTTTCATTTTTTTTGCTTCTCTTAAAAAAATGGTTTTTGTAGTTAATTCTCCGTGAAATAATATTAACTTATTAACTTGTATTAATCCTTTAGTAATAAACTTAGAATACCCTCAACAATTTATTTAAAATAAAAGCTAGCTTAATTTTCATTAAAGTTTACCAAAACCATTTCATTTATTATTTAACCATTCTATTTCTTAGAAACTTTTATTTTTTTATTTTTTAATTCCCTTCCTTAATCTTTTGATGATTTCTCATATCCTAATATAAAAACTTCTATTTTTCTAACAAATTTACCTAAAGCATTCTTTTGCCCATTTTCTCATCTTTTTTCTTCATAAACACTTTCATCAAAATAAAAATATCTGCCTAAAATCTTTCCATACACCCAATACTCTTCCTATTAACTATTATCGGCATTAAAAAGTTTCCCTTAACCTAATTAAAACTTATTAAGTCATTATCCGTTTTAATAAGTACCATTTTTATATTGTATTTCCTGGTTAAAATCATCCTTTCACATTTCAGCTAAACTAGAAAATTATATTTATATTAAATATACAATTCCAATTATTAAAGAATTATAATTAATTGTATAAATTGTTTATAAATATAAATATGCAATCAAAGGCAAAATATGATGAATTCGAAATTCTATAATGTTTTGGATGCCCAGAGGTACAAAAATCATAAATAAGAATAGTATAAAGTTAAAATTGGAAAAAATGAACAAGGCCAACACGTTTTACTCAATTTTTTTGATATTTCTTTTAGAGATTAACTTTAAGAGTTATAAAATATTAGAAATTTGGAGCATCCATCTATTCTTAAAATTCTACAAATAAGAAACTAAGGAAATTATACAGTATTATTTTAAAAAGATAAAAGAAAAAAAATAAAAGAACATTAATTAGATCATGTGTTATATATGAATATCCAAAAGGAGGAGAATTATATGAATACTTATTTTAGACTGGAAACTTTAATGAAACTTAAGCTCGATGTTATTTTAAATAAATTGTTGAGGGTATTCTTAATTTATTATTTAAAGGGTTAATATAAGTTCATAAGTTCGGATTATTT